GTCGTTCTCTCATCTGCCTCCAAACGGGCCTCCTAGGGGAGCTGGTATTCTGGTCACATCAGCCCTTCCTGCCATTCAAGCAGCACCAAGCCGCCCATCCCTCTGTGCCCTTCCCCAGCTAGAGAAAATTCTCTAGATGGAACTAGACAGGCAGACTGCAGAGGCCCTCCATGGAGACACTGTTCTGGGCTGTCAGGGAGGGACCCTACAATACAGGACCCCTCAGTCCAGGGCTGGCTCCCTCTGACCAATGGCCTGCAGAGGTCACTCCCTGGAAGAGCAGGCCAGGGAAGGAAGGGGCCAGCCAAGCCAGCAGAGGCCCAAATAAATGCCTCAAAGCACTACAGTTGAAAAGACCAGTTTCTACAGCAGGAACACAGAGCAGGTGGGCAGCCCCGGCCCAGAAAGAAAGGAAAACCTCAAACCAGCCCTTGTTTCTCCTGCTCTCCTTTCCTCGGTGAGCATTTAAAAAAAAAAAAAGCACAAAGTTACACAGAATGTTCCATAATATCCCCACCAAAAGCCCCACCAACTTTAATAATAGAATAAATAGACACAGAGGTTAAAAAGTTAAAATTGAATAGAATGATACAAAATGAAAAATGCAAGCTCCTTTCCTGCCCCCATCTCTCCACAAGGGTAACTGCCTCCAGGGAGAATTGCAGGCAGTAACTCAGATATGTGAACAGACAAAAGGAATCATACCATATACCAGTAGTTGGCAAACTTTTTCTATAAAGGGCCAGGTGCTATTTTAGGCTTTGTCACAACTACTCAACTCCGTAGTAGCAAGACTGCACGGGTAGTACTTAAATGAGTGAGTGTGGTCGTGTTTCAATTAAACATTACGGACACTGAAATTTGAATTTCGTGTAATTTTATGTGTCACAAAATATTCTTCTTTTGATTCTTCTTAACCACTTAAAAACGTAAAAACAATCCTTAGCTTGCAGGCCATACAAACACAGGCAACGAGACTAGGTCTGGCCTGTGGGCTACGGTTTACTGACTCCTGCGCCTTGCTCATTTCACTTCTATCTTAACGATTGTCCCACATCAGCACACAGAGATCCATCCATTCTTCTGAACCACTGCCTCATAATCCATTGAGAGGCTGGACCACAACTGCACCACAGCTTCTCTATTGTTGGACGTTTGTTTGTTTCCAGCTTTGTTTTGAAATGATGAATAATGCTATAATGAACATCCTGGTACATATGGTGACTTTTGTACCCTACAGGGTTCAATGCTATGGGTGAATCAAGGGCTGTGAACACTTCTGATTTCTCTAGATATTGCCAAATGGTCCTCTAGAAAAACAAAATTTATTTCCTACTGCGTTTGAGTGGGGCCCTCTTTCCCTCACCCATGACAGCCCTGAACATCCCGACAGGCATTCTAGAATCTTATCCTTCTCTAAGCCCAGGGCCTGGCAACCTCCTGAGTGGGAGATTTTCTCCACCTTTGGAAATCCCCTTCTGGCTCTCAGGCCTGCTGCCACCTGCTCTGGCAATAGCTAGAGCAGTGTCTGTCTTCTCCTCCCAAGTGAGAAGGGTGCCAACCAAAGGGCAGAAACTGAGCTGACAGCTCTGTTGTAACTGCTACCCAATTACAAGACAGTCACAGCACTGCAAAATGCCCTGAAGCTCCTGCACCCCAGGACCTTCTCCCAGGCTGCCTTCAGGTCCTGGTCCTTTTTGCCCTCACATCTAGGATCTTCCACCACTAGTGCCAAAAGAGGCCTCAGAGATGGCTCATGTGAGTACCCACCCCCCACTTCATTGCACAGATAAGAAAACTGAGGCCATAAAGAACTGACTTGCCCAGAATCCCAGCATGAGAAATCCTCTATGCTCGGCTACCTCTCTTGAGGTAGGGCTGGCCCCTGAGGTCCAACTCCCCCCACCTCACATAAAAGCTCCAAGATTTCTTTGTTGTTGGCCACTCTCCCCAACTGCTATGTGCAGCATGAAGCCAAATCCACCCCTCTCCATCACCCCCTCACAGTCCCCTGGTCTGGCTCTAGGTCAGTGGCTCTCCTGGGATGCCCAGACACACTGGTGAACCACGATTAGTTCTGAGCCAGGTCTGCAGAATCACCTAGCTCCCTGCAGCCCACACCCCAGCTGCTTGTTTGCTAGCCAAAATTCAGTATGCCTAAGGGAGCTCCGGAAAGCGCTGAGCATGTGAACCCATGACTTAGCAGGCAAAGAGCTGAGAATGACTGTTCTAGAGAACAAAGACTGCTCCTAAGGGTAAGCCAGAAAGGCAGCAACAGGGAGATCAGTACCATCAGGGAATGTGAGGAAAGGCCACTGCCTCAGGGCCAACACAAGGCAATCCAGGGATCCCTCTTGGTTACCAAACTCACAATGACCCTACCGAGGAAACCCAGTTCTTTGGTGAACTGCCTCCCTGCAGGATGAGAAGTGAGAAGGATGCGGGCCCCTCCACACGAGCAGTTGGACTGTGGCTCCATGGCTCTTTCCACAGGGGCTGTCTCGCCAACTCAACACCTCACACCACGTGGCTGGCCCAAAGGACATGACAACAAGGGGAAAGGAGAGGGTGAACGACAGGAAATAAATACCATTAAGTGCTTCCGTATGCCAGGTGCTGCACCCAGTTGTTGGTACAAGACAACAAACTGTTTCATCTGTGTCCCCTGCCCCCAGCCTTAACAAGAGCCTGAGGTGATGGGTGGCAGTAATCATACTTATTTTAAAAACGAGAAAGGCAGGCTCCCAGAGGCTAAGTCAGGGAGTCCTCTGCTCCAGGTCAGTGCCCTGTGGCTGCCTGACTTTAGGGTTCAACTGCAGCCAGGGAGGGAGAGCCAAGTCCTGTTCCAGACATGGCCTGTCCCTGCAAGAGGGGGGCTAAAAGGCCTGGGGCGGGCTGCAGAGCCTCCCTCCTTCAGGCAACCCTTTCCTCACATCCCTATAATGCTGGCTGCGTGGGACGGCAGGAAGTGGTGGAGTTGCCATTTCCCTCCGCTCTGAGGCTGCCCATCTGTTTCCTGGGATAGGACTCCCTGCCCCCACCACCCACAGTCCGGAAATTCACTTGCTCTGGGGCTATGGGAAAAGGGAACTGCCTGGCTCCCTCCCTCCCCAGGGGGCACTGGCCAAGGCTGTCCCTGCCGCAACCCCTTCCAGGCCTCCCGCCCTCACGGCTCCAGCTGGCCAGCTGCTACCAACGGTTCTGGGCACATGAGGGGTGGTAGGCCCCAGGCGCTACTGCCCCAGCAGCACCAGTGCCTAGCCTCAGAGCAGCCAGGAGACTCTCCTCCCTTTACCCTGCTGGTCTGGCTGGCATCCCTGGCTGCCTGCTTCACTGCTTGTCCTAGCCTGGGGGGTAGGGTGAGGGGGTGACTTTCTGGGTAGAAGTTTGTAGAAAGTAAAAAAATGAAAGATTTCCCGCCTCTGCCTGTAGTCTCGACATGGTCATCTGCAAGTGAGCACTGCCCCCTGCTGGACATGCTGGGAACATCCACCTGTGCTACCCTGTGTTGGGTGCTGTGCAGAAAAAAGCAAGGAAAAAGCACCGCCTGAGTCCCAGCAACTTAACAACACCCCACAAAACCAGCGTCCGACAACACAAGCAGTGTCGAAGGCAACCCATGCTTCTACATCTTGGTCAAGATTCTCTCCTTGACCAAACTCTAGTCAGGCTCCTCTGAGACACTTTGTCAACAAGGCCTCTCCTTGAACCTTGTCCTCAAGAGCAATTTCTGCTAAGTCAATTTAACCAGAATCCCCCACCCTCAATATCTGATCAGGCTGGATATCTCATCAGACTCCTCATCCCCCAGCACTCCCCAGATAGTGTCTGATCACCTGGCCTGCCTTCAGCAGGAATCCTGCCAGGACGGTTTAGCCAGAATCCCCCGACCCGTGATGTTCCCTCTGGAATTTTTCATCCGCTGACCCCTATGTGCTCCTGGCTATAAATCCCCACTTCTCCCTGTATTCGGAATTAAACTCAATTCTATCTATATGGAAGCATCTTTTCCTTTATTGCAATAGTTTTTCTGAATAAAATCTGTTTTTACCACTTCACTGTCCAGCTCCGGTTTTTCTTTAATACACCAAGTGAGTTTTAAAAGGAAGGCAGCAAGACCACATTGGCTGAGGCAGGTCGGGAAGGCTTTTGCACGAACTGTGTGTGCAGAACTTGCAAAGGCCGAGAGAAGCAGGGAGGACAGTGCAGCCTGGCAGGGGCCCGGCCAAGCAAAGGCCATCAGGGTGGAGCATGGGGCAGTGGCAGATCGACAGACGAGTGAAGGGCTCTGGATACCAGACGAAGAAGTGGGGTTATCACCTGCTGGCTTTCACATTGTTTAAAGGCTTGAACTTTTCCTGCAAAAGAATCTGCACCAGAACCCCAATAAACACAACTGATCAAAGTTGAGGTGGTCTGGCCAAGGACAGGGGGCTAAACCCTCCACCCCAAATACACTGTGGTGGCCCATGGGCATCTCTGAACACCTGAAGAGCAAAGTCTGAAACCAGAGCTGTGGGCAACAGGGAGTCCCTGAGGTTCCCGTGCTTTTGGACTGAGAGGACAGCCACGGTGTCTAACAAGGAGGGAGACTAGAGCTGCCGTGTTCAAGATGGAGTCAAAGCAGGGGTGGTGAGCCCACGGTAGCAAGGGAATACTGAGAACTTGCTACATTTCTCCAGCCAGCCCTCTTCCCACACCAAGACCTTAGGGAATCTCAGGGTCAACATATGGGAACACAAACCCTCTATTTACCAGGGTGTTCCTTTCCCAATCTCCCTTCACACTCTGTCCACACTATCTAATCTAGCTCCTGGTTATACTGTCACACTGGTCTCTGTCTCCTGTGTCCCCCACATACCAAAGCACACAGAGGGCTTCCACAAACACTACGATTAAGAAAAAGAAAAGCCTGTGCACTACTCAAAAATGGGCTGGCCCCAGGAGCAGCAGCTGTCTAATATCAGAGGCTGCCACGTTTGTCTAGTAAGGATACTCACGCCAGGAATGTCCAAAAGCCTTGACACCAGAAGAGGCAACTTCAGAGCTGCAACACTCCCAGTGACACCCACAAGAACATGGAACTGTCTCTCCACCAAGGGTGCAGCAGCTGGACATGAGGCCCTTGCTTCCATGTGGGGTCTGGCGGCTTCAAGTTCAGGGAGCCTGCAAGGACTGGGCTCCATAAAGCTCTGTCAGGATTTAGGATCTAAAAGCAGAACAAGGTGTACCCATTTCATTCATACATTTGACTGAAATTATTGAGAACCCTGTGTTAGACCCTGGACGAGATGCTGGGATTCCTAAGTGGTCAGCAGTCCCCACTCTGGGAGCAGACCGTTTGATAAGAAGGTCAGACACCTCGTCACACACAAGTCAGTTACAATGTAATGTGGCCAGTGCTGTGAGGAAAGTCTATAACCAGGGGCTGTGGCTGCCCAGGAATAACAGTCTGAGGATATCAGATACCACAAAAATGACATATAGGTTGAGCCCTGAAGGACAAGTAAGTTTTCTAGAGAAAGAAGGAAATAACTTTGCAAAAAGGAGCAATCTTGCAAAAGTGAAGCAGCCTGAAGGAGGGTGGCAGGTTTGGGGAACTGGGAGTAGCTTAGTAGTGATGCTAAAGTGTGATGGGGGGCAGGAGGTAAGGCTGCAAAACCAGGTCAAGGGCAGAGTGTCAAGGGTGGTGAGGGCCAGGTGAGTTTTCATTTTAGAAAGATGGTGCTGGTGTTGGAGACAGTGTGGAGAGGGCCCTGGTGGTGGAGAGATTGGAGGGGGCAGGGGAAGGAGCTACTGCAGTGGGCTGGGCTGGCTGACTGACTGAAAAGAGTGGTAGGACAAAACGGGTTTCAGGGATGCCTGAGATAGAACCCTAGGCAACAAGGAGGCTTGGGTACTCCAGGGAGCTGAGAGATTTGCCTCCTTGTCTCTGTCCCTGTGGATCAGACTGGGCACCACCCTACTAATCCAAGCCCAGGAAGAGACAAGCATAAAGGGGATAGAGGCCACCCCATGAAAGCAGCTTCTTGGTTTCTTCCTCTGGACCTCAGATATTTCTAGAATGAGTGTCCATGATAATATGGCTGATGGACACACCAAAATATACACTCTGCAGGTTGGGCCAGCAAAATGTACTCATTCCATCAGCAACCACCTCTGAGGACCAATTACATCTAACCCTGGACAAAAGAATTGTGCAAGACAGCCAATGCCTTCAGGGAATCTGTAGATGAGTTGAGAAAACAAGAGTCACACCTGAAATCATCTGAGATGGGTTCTTCTCTGGGATGCACCTTTTTGGTGATTATTGATTCGATCTGTTCCTCAGCTTCCTTGCCTCTCCCTCTCCATTTCCCCAACACCATCACCACCGCCACGAACAAGCTCCCTGAATCTGTGACCAGGTCTAATCGCCAACTGCCAGGCACCTTCTAGGTCCTGAACTGCTTAATGAATAATAAACTGTACCCTCTAAAGGAGGATGGGGCAGAGGACAGAAGCCTGGCCTGTGAATCAGGAGCCCTGGGCCCTGTCCATGGTTGTGCTCCTGACCTGGTGTGTGACCTTGGCCCAGGGTACTTCCCTCCCTGAACCTGTCTCTTCATCTGAAAAATGCAGAGGTAAGACCAGGTGATCTCTGAAGCTCCTTCCAGCAGAAAACTTCTGAGTCAATGCATAAAAGACAATGGCAAGGGCTCTCTGTACAAGAGGGTCCTGGAAGATGCACTCAAAATGGGCAGAATCAGCAGAGGGAGGGGACACCAAGGCAGACCCCGAGGAGGAAGTGCCTGTGAATTGCCCAATGGCTAACTCTGTGGCTGCACTCACAGAGGCCTCCTTTTCACTTCACAGACCCCTTGGTTCCCTAGGGCCTCTTTGCCCAGTATTTCCTTTAAGACTCAGGCACATACCCACATGAGCTGAGGATCATGTTGGGGTCCATTATCCCACTCCAACTTCAGTCTCCCAGAGGCCCAGACCCTTCTCAGCAGGGGTTAAGCACAGGCCAGTTCCCTAGAGCAAGACACCTCCAAAGTTCCATTTGCCAGCGATCTCAATCTCGGCTCTACATGCGGGCCTCAGCCAGGGCCGTGCTTGCCCAGAGCCGAACTGAGTCTATTCCAGGGCCTGGGAAGCCCTGTTAGCAACTGGCAAGGTCTAGAGGGCCTATTGCCAGGTTCTTCCCAGAACTAATCAGCATGCTGATCAGCGCCCACACTGGTGATGGAGGCACATTCTGGACTCTCTAGGGAAACCTACCTGCCAGATCTCAAACCTTGACCCTGCCCCACCCTAGCCAATTAGCGCTATGACAAGGAGATTCCTGCAAAACCAGAAGCTGAACTTCACCTCTGCAGCCCCTGAATCTCCTCCACATCAAGCTGATATCATTTTAAGGAACAGGTTACTTAAAGCAGTCAGTTAAACTTGGGGCAGGAATCCATGTTGGTAACTTCAACTACTTCCCTACAGTAGATAGTACAGCCCAGGATTTACTACTCAGCCTACTGAGCAAGCATTGCTAAAGGCCAAAGCCTACTTACCTTTCTAGAAAACGGTCGGTGGGTGGGGAGGCATATGTACTTGAGGAACAGAAAGGGGATAATTTAACCAACATTTGAAAGCAAGGTCAAATTGTTTCAATCAGACAGTCCCATGGAGGGTGATAGCTGGCAGGAGTTCACTATGTTTACTTTCAAAAGTGATCAAATTCTGAACTAGGAAGTCTGTTACTCTACCCAGTTCCTGTTAGAACCACCTATTTGCACAGCCAAGGTAGCTGCAGACAGCACCTCAGTTATTTCCCTGGGCTCTGCTGAACTCATAGGAACTCTTGTGCAGCAGAAAGAGTTGGCAACCAGAGAGGTTAGAGTTCTATGATTACTGAGCCTCAAGCTCCCAGGGCACCCGCCACCCAGGTAAGCCACAGCCAAAAAATGGCAGCTTCTCTCCTTTAGAAAGACAGGGCTAGATAAAGAGCCTCAGCTTGTGGCAGGCTTGTGATGAGTAAATCTTCCCTGATGAGTTTAATTAGGGTGGAGTTAAGTAAACGTTTCGGAATACTTGCCAGTCACAATATGGGCAGGTGTCGAGCAAGGGGAGAATGGGAGCTAAAAAGCGCCAGAAGTGGTATGAGCCCAGCGAAACACAGGAAGGAGGGGGGTGGAGCCTAGGACAAAGCAGAATCAAACTCCAGCACTGGGGTGGGTGTGAGGAGATGAGCAGGGATCCAGGATCCAGGATCCATTAAGAGCTTGAATCCTTTAGCCTGATGTCAAAGGCCCTCACTACAGGCCCCAGGCTTCTGCTCTGGCCTTATCTCCTACCCATCAACACAGTCTACTCTCTGCCTCAGTAATAATGAACCACTTGTAGCCTCCCAAAGTGTCACTCTGCCCCCAAACTCAAAGTCATTAAAAGGAGTCTCGTGGCCACAGGGGCACTTTAAACCCCTTCCCCCAAGGAAAGGCAAGGAACTCTTCAGGAGAGCTCAAGGCCTTGGCATTCTGCTAAGACTGCTCTCCTCTCAAACCAGAGGCAGACATGCTTGACTCTGATGCTCCTGTAATCCCAACAGGCACCCTCCCTCCTCACAGCCACATGTTGGGAATATATATATATTATATTCACACACACCGGCTACTAGCGAGGGAGTGACTGAGTACTGCCACCCCAACCACTGGGAAAGATGTAGAAAACCCCTGCTCCCAAGACACCCACCACCTCCCCAACCTGGGAATCTCTCCTGCCCATCATCTGGCACAGCCCTCCAATACTTCAAAGGTCAGTACAAAGTTTTCCTCTGACAAAATTTGGCCTCGCTAATTTTTAAATGCCGTTTAGCACATTTCAGCGGATCTAGGGGATAATTCTAGCGCTCCAGGGCTTTCCTTTTTCTATTTTACCAACTTTAAAAACATAGTTTGTACTTTGGGGAGCCCCTATTCCTTTTTGGAAGCAGACTGATGGTTTCTGTTTTTAAAAGACAAGCAGTAGGTGTGGGGAATTGACAGGGCCACCTTTTATACGAGATGAAACAGCACCGGACAGTCTCAGAGCATCACAAAGCAGGGATGGCAGCGCACAGATGCAAATCCCTCGCTTCAGGCTCCAGCAAGGAAGGGCTCCCGAATGCTCCGGCCCCACGGACACAGGTAGGAAAGGGAGGTCCCCCGCCACACACACACAAACGGTCTGGAGCAGACCACACGCGCACACACACACACAGCGGTCGACCCACAGTCGCGAGCACAGCTTCGTGGGCACACATGGGAAAGTCAGGTCACTCACACACACACACCCCAACCCACGGAAAGTGACGTCACATACACACACAGTCGGGCTGACCCAAACTCGCAAACAGTGATTCTCCAGGCTCCCTCCCGCCAGGAGGACATAGCCTAGGAGACCCCCATTGCCTCCTCACCCGCGCCAGGCGCGTCTCGGGGCGGCCCCCAAATATCGCGGTAGCTCGGTCACTCCTCCCGGTGATGCCTACTGGTACGCAACGTCACGAGAGGCTCTGGCAGCCTACGCGCTCGTGCAGCCTTCTGGGAGTTGTAGTCCATTTCTCTGCCTCCTGGTAGTTGTAGTCCACCGGGGGGAATCCTGCCGCGAACCCTGGCTTCGCGTTCTTGGTGTCTGCTGTGCTGTAGCCTGGGTCTGGTGTAATCGTGCGACCCCTCACCCTCCACCCCCATCCCACACAGACACAGTGCTCATCACTGCGGCACTTCATACTGAATATTTACTGAGCCTTTTCTATGTTTTAAGTGCACAGGATACAGAGATAAATCGGACTCTTCTCTGCTCTTGAGACAAGCAGAGACACAGAAAACTACGGACTGAGGTCCCTGAGGAAGCAGTGGGGACTATGCAACTAGAGGCAGGGAAGCACAGACTCTCAGAGAAGGAGTCACTCAAGGTGAATCTTGAAGGATGACCAGGAACTTAGAGTACCAGGACAGCACACCAAATGGAGGACAGGCATTGGGCAAAGGGAAAGCAGCAGGAGAAAGCACGTTGGGTATGCTTCCCTGCCTTCTTCATTCTTCAGCATCCACAGGCCACTGGTCCCCTTGTGTTCTGTGAGGCTACTCAATCAGCTGCCAGTCTCTATTGATGAGAGCTGAGGTGGGGCCTTCTGTGCTCTGCCCCTGCCCTTGCCTGCAGGAGCCGTCTGGGCCAAACTGACCCCCACCCACTGATCCAGCCTTCTACTTCCTCCTCAGGGAGCTCTGAACTCCTCCTCCTGATAGGCAGGAGGCCTTTGTGACAATTTCAAGGCTTACTCAGGGCTGCCTCAGAGAAAGAACCACACAGAGGTGTGTAACTTTTGGCCCCTGGGAATGACAGGCCCCAGACCCATTTGACCACTCCTACCTCCATGCCCCACAGCCCCCGGTGAAGCTCCACACAGGCCCACATGAAGACACATGACGCAGCAGGACACACAGGGCCAAATGTTCCCCTTTATTATGGTTCACTCAGTTACCACAGACAGACACACTGGCTCAGGCAGGTCAACTGCCAATTGGAGAATGGTCTGTGTCTCCCAGAAACAAGGAGGAGCAGTGGGCACCACAGAATGCAAAGGCAGGTCACTGGCTGGCTGCAGACCTGAGGATTCCCAGAACTGACCTGGGCCTTCCTCCACCCAACCCCCAAGCCAGACCATCTAGCAAAGATAAATCTGTGCCCAGTTCCTCCCCTCAAAGTGCATAGTTGCCTGGAGATGCAGCATCCCAGGGCCTGGACAAGCCAGGCCACACACAGGTAGCAGGCCTTCCCAAGGGCAGAGCCAGGGCATGGCCATATAGGTCTGAGCCAGGAAAGAGGAAAGGCAGATAGGATAGGAGATCGACTGGAAGTGGCATCCAACAGGTCGTGGATGTTGGGCTGGCAGCTGGACCACAGGCCTCCTAGAGTGACCAGACAGACTAAGAGAAAGGGAGCCAGGGGTCTCTGGTGGGGGAGAGGGAAGGGGAGAAAGAGCCTAAACCTAAGATCTCTTTTCAGGTACTAAGGGCTGTAATTGCTTTCCAGAGAGAAAGTGATAGAGGAGACAGCCAATCACACTCTGGCCCAAGCCTAAGGGACCATTAAGAAGAGAACTTTCCAGAGGTCCTGGATCCTCTTACAGAAAAATGGTATGCCTGGAGCCCAAAGCTCAGGATGGCACCTGAAATTCCAGGTGTTGGGTTCCAAGCTGGAGCCAGCCCTGAGTGGCCAAGCGGGGTTTGGTTTTTCAGGCCAAACAGCCCAGGCAGAAGTTGGGGTGGGAAACAGGCAACTGCTCCTTAGGTGGGAACCCACTTCCCTACAAGCCTCAGAGAGAGCAAGGGCCTCCACCAGCAACATTCTCACAATGCTTGGCATGTAACAGCCCCCCAGACCTGAAATCGCTGTCCTGGAAGGGAAAGGGGGTTCTGACAGGATGAGGGAGGGCAAGAATCAAGTCTGGTAGGCAGAGGGAGCAAGTAATCTTCATTAAAAGAAAAAGCCAGAGAGCCTCCCCTCCCACCCTGCCTACCCTGAAATCCATCCCGGCCCTTGTGCTTGTGGATAGGATTGGGCCTGTGCTTCTTGCTAGGCCCTGAGTTCAAATGCCCAGAACTGTCCTGTGACCAAGAGCAAGCTGGGGTGGGGGTGTGGGGCATGCTCCCCTCTCACTGGGTCCTGCCTGCCTTCTCCTCTGCTTTCCCCTCCAGGCCTAGGCCTCTGAGCCTGTCCCTTCTACCAGATCCAAACAGAACAGCTACTGCTCCCAGGAATCCAATGGTCATTCAGAGACATCTAGCACCTGCCCAGTGGGCTTGGGCCAATAATTCCACCCAGGAACCAATAATTATTTACATACCCTCTGCTCCAGCTGTACCTTTATACCTGAAAATTGCCTGGACACCATCCAGCTCTTCAGGGAAGGCAGTGGAATCTACCCTTGTGGATGGCAGACACCACCTGGCACATGGAGGGGGAAGGTAGAAGGATCAGGCCACAGCAGCTGTGGGTGCAGGGAGGGACATAAGCAGAGGGGCTTGAGGGAGCTCTGGGAAGAGAAAGGGGAAGCAAGGCAGGGAAAACAGGAGCCTGCCCTGGCAGGCCAAGCTCTGAGAGTCAAGGAGACAACCCAACATTTCCATTCCCTGGGAGGCAGGTACCCAGGTGGGCTCTGTGTCTCCGGCTATGTGCCTTCCCACATCAGGGCTAAGGCTCAGCTCCCCAGCCTGCTTCCTTGATATGGGAATGGGCTCAGTCTCAGGAGCAGATACAACAGGGATACTCAGCCTTGGGGAAAACAAAGAAAAGCCACATGGGGAAGAGAGAGACCCTGGGTGAGAGAAGAGACCACAGGGAATATGAGAGCAGGAATAGAGGAGAGGAGGAGGAAGTTGAGGGGGAGCAGACCCGGATCAGAAGGAGCAAGGGAAGATCCCCTGCCTGTCCACGCCCCCCGCCAACCTACCACCCCCATGAATGCTAAATACTGTTGCTTCCCAGGAAGACCAGAAGTGGAAACAGTTTCAGTTCATAACCCTGGGGAGGGGGCCAGGCTCTCTGCTATGCCTCCCCCTATCCCATGAGGGGTCCCTGGGTCAAGGTTAGATGGGGCAGCCTGGTGGAGGATGGGGGGCTGGCTTAGTTCTAAACATACATCTAGCACCACAACAACAGAGACCTTCACTGCACACTATTTCACAAGGGGACACAGACACAGCTACTACCGCACAGGACAGCTCCCCTTGCAGCCCACAGCTCTAAGAATGCCAAGAGCAGAATCCAAAGGGTGTTTGGGGCTGGGGGTGGACATATACACACACATATATATATATATATATATATAACTCTGATTCTTTGTACAAAGTTGGGGAGGAGAAAAGGGAAGGGGGAACCCTGCTTGGTCACCACAACAGACAATGTGGCTTCAGCCCCCATCCCACTGGCTCCCAGCCCTGCCTTCCAGTAGGCTCAGCTGGCTCACATCTCATTGGAGTATGTGTAGTTGGGGGTGGTGGAATACTGAGTCTGCGGCTGATTCATGGCACCCTGGGCCGCCCCCATGGCTGCATTCTGGGCTGCCTGCTGCACGTGTGGGTTCTTCCATGCCCCTGTGGTCCACTCCTCCTGAGCTTTGCTGAAACTCCCCCCACTGCCCCGGTAGAATTTATGAACCTGTAGGAGGAGGAGCACAAGGAAGGGTTAATCAAAGGGAAGAGGCAGCCCACCAAGGAAAGACATGGGAGCCAGAAACAAGTCACTGTAAAAGCCAATCCCCCCCCACCCCACCCATGCCCCGTACACCAGGAGCAAAGCCCACCAAGCCATTCCAGAGTGAGTCCTTTGGAAGACCTCTGGGTCCTCCTATAACTTGGACAGATCACAGACCCTTCCCAAAGCCACCCTCTCACCCTTGAGGTGACCACGTACCATGCTGAGGGCGATGAAGGAAAAGACAGCCACGACCGTGAACATGATGGTGGGAATGAGCATCACCACCGCTGAGCCAATGTTTGTTCCGAAGAAGGAGATGGTAGCGATCCAGCCACTGCAGGAAGAGGCCAGCTGTAGGGCTACCCACCATGGTGAGGGGTAGCTGCCCCACTAGAGCAAGGGACCATCTCATTGTCACAGGGAGGAACCATACCACTGGATGCAAAGGGACCACCTTATTGATATCCAAAGGGCCTGTGTCAGTGGTTCAGGAAGAACCCTTTCCCATGGCTCAGGAGACAAGCTCCTCAGACATAAGGCTTCTTTGCCTTAGGTTCTCTCATGATGCTTGACGCCCCTCAGTACCCCCAAAAACCACTGCAAGGTTCTCCTTCCCCTCTGATTCTATGGCTGTGTCTACTACACTATCCTGAATCCTCACACTTCCAATAACTTATGGTGTCCCCACAGGCTATACAGCTTAGCACACAGAGGTAAGCAAAAGATACAGCCAAGGTGCCACCCATGCGAGCCCTGGGTCAGACACGGACACCCCAGTTTCTTACCAGACACCCCAGCCTGGGATGCCCACAGCCTGGATGATGCTGATGACCAGCTGAGCCATAAAGGTGAAGAAGAATGCCATGAAGCTGAAGGAGCTGTCAGTCCTGCAGCAGAGGAGATGGCTCCTGTCACTGGGCAGAGAGCCAGGGCTTCCCTGCCATCAAGACTCCCAAACCCTTCCAAATTTAAGTGAGTACACAATGGACAGAAGACATTTAAAGGCCTTAACTGAGAGGCCAAAATGGGACAACGTTTGATCCTTGCAAGTTTCCACGTGGTAGTCCTGTGTGTGCATAATTACATAGGGAGAGATCTCCTCACATATGGACCACTCAGTGGTACATGGATGGTTGGTCCCACTGGCACAGAAATAGATGGGTCCATTGTGGCAGGAATAAACAATCCCATTGTCCACAGGATGGACTACCCCACTGGCACCGAAACATCTAGTTCCACAGGTACATGGATGGATGGTCCCATTGGCACAAGAATGGACACCCTATTGGCACCAAGATAATAGCCTCATTGGCACATAGATGGATTGGCAAAGACATTTAAGGCCCCATTGGCACTGGGATGGATACTCCATTGGCACCAAGACAGACAGCCTATTGGTACATGGATGAATAGTCCCATCGGCATAAAGACTGAAAATCCCATTTGACACAAGGTAGACACCCATTGGCACCAAGATAGCTAAGCCCAGTGATACATAGATGGGTAGTCCCTTTGGCACAGAGTTGTATGACCTCATTAGCACATAAATAGTGTCAGTGGTACATGGATGGCTGGTTCCACTGGCACATGGATAGATGGTCCATTTGGCACCAAATCTGCTAGCCCCACAGGTACAAAGATGGACAGTTCCATCCAGACAGGTGGTCACATTGGCAAAATTTAACATGAAGCTGCCTAGAGAAAACAAAACAAAAACAGGCCTGGTCTCTATGTTGCCCCCACCCAAAGGGAGAGTAAGGAAGGAAGGAAGTAAGAGGAAGGCTCTGACTCCCAGCCCTCTCACCCTGGCCTAGAGCTCCCAGGAAGCCCAAATTCTACCTGGCAGTCTGAGCTGAGGCTGAACAAGTGAAAGTGAGTTTGGGGAACGGAAAAAAAAAAAACAGTGAGAAAATATGTAGAGAAGAGACAGGGGAGATGGGCAGAGACAGGGTTAGGAGCCAGGGTCAGCACCAACCACTTACTTGAAGGCCTTGTAAATGGGCCGAAACCAGCAGACGTAGGAGCAGGGTGTGAAGAGGATGAGCCAGAGAAAGGCGAGGCCAAAGTTGGTGGCTCCCCCGCCTCCGATCAGCCACGCGAGACAGCCCACCAGGTTCACGGCCAGCGTGACACTGTTCACTGCAGACAGAAGCACACACAGAGACAGACACCAGACATGCACACAGACACCCAGGCCCATGCAGAGATACATAAGCACCCAGACATGGACACACACACCCATAACTCAACACAGACAAACAATCAAACACATGCAAACGGTGTAAGTGGAGAGATGCAGACACACACAGCACACATGCAAACCGCATTCATACAGATTCACGTCAACAACCCACATCAGTGAATACACACACACAGATACATGAGATACACACACACATATACACACAGAGGGAGTACAGACTGTAAGAAAGAAAGCTGGGAGCTTAGACCAACTCCCCTCCCCACACCTGCTCCTGGGGATCTGAGAAATTCAGAGAACAAAGAGTCTCCAGAGCAGGAACCCAGCCCAGTAAGCCCCGTTGAAGTGCTCCAAAGACTCAGAGTGGTAGACATGACCTTCCCCTTCTAGGAATGGCCTCCTTACATCTCTTGTGAGGTAGGGGCATGAAAAGGGGAAAGTAAAAGGCCTTGTGGAAACATCTCTTCAAGCCGTCTTACCATCTGCCCTGCAGGTAAATGGGGCAGGCAGCAGTGGCTGGGATCTCAGTCTTTATCTAATCCATTTCTTGGAAAACTATCATGCCACCTCCCCCAAGAAGTCTTTCCCTTTATTACTGCAACCTTATTCATCTCCCATCCTTGGACTGTTCTCAAGGTTCCCCAAGTACAAATCTCAGCCCATCAACCAGACTAGAAGCTCCCAAGAGCAGGACCCAGGCGCCCTCTCCTCTGTGCCCACATAATCTAGCTGAACCTCCAAATCATGGTATCACTGAGTCACAGCCAGCAGGGACCTCAAAGACTCCTCCTCTGATGCTGGCCCTAACACACACCCAGGTCTTCTGACATCACGGTACTCCCTTCCTCAAACATTAGGCTGAGTCCCTTTAAGGCTCCAAAAAGACCTGCTGAATAAACAGAGAAAGGTGGGCTCAATCTTGGCCTCAAACGGGCCGGGCATTTATGGCCTTGGCTTCTGAATAGAACCCTTAAGCATCTCAAGGGTTATACACATTTCCTTGGGAGCAAAGCATCTGGCAGGTGCCTAGTGAGGACTTAGAAGGATATATATAGCCGTTAAATCCAGCTCCTGGATGAGATCTTCTCAGGGGCAGAGTTCCCAGAGCCCAGGGTCAGGTGAAGTGCTTTCCAAGTCTGGCCGGATAACACAGTCACCTGCGCAGGTACACCCATCCCGGGGCCCCTCTTAATGAGAGTGAGCATTTCTTCCCGTGCTCTTCAGCTGTATTTCCTCCATCTCTGTTTACTGCCTCCAAATTTCCTGGAACCTTGGTGCTGTTACTGATTCTATTTGCTCTTTACACAGAACAGACATTAACCTGTTTTTACGTTGGTTCACATCTGTCTTCCCAGTCCCATCTCTCTCCAGCTCACTTGACCTAGCGCCTCTACTGCAATTATTCTGCCACCTCTTTGGAACGGACATGCATGGATTTGGCCACTTCCTCTTTAGCCATCAGTGTTTTTCTGTCTCCACTACTGTCTTTGTCCAACTTAGAGTCCACAATTCGTTACACTCATTTTCTTATTCCTTCCCCTGCCCTGTCTTCTGGTCACATTCACCCTGGATGAACACAACTCCCATTTGTACCTGAGCTGAATGTTGCTAGGAAAAAAGGAGCCCGACAGAGAAGCCTGGCAGGACTATAAACTCATGGCAGCCAACCTCAAAAGGACCCTGTGCATGGCCCAGAAATCTTAGGGGTCATGTTTCTTTGGATAATGTCCTCACTCTCTGTCCACAAACGTGCTCTCATTCTAATCCTACTCTCCTCAAAGCTCCCATCCCCACTTCTACATCATATTTGTTGGAAAAAAATGGAAGCCATCAGAGGCAACCTCCTCATTCTCTTCTCAACATCTACAGACCTACCCACACCTGCCCCATCCTTTCCTTCTCTCATGTTAGAAGGGGAAATATCCCTTCTCTACCCATCCAAAGGCCAAGCCAGGACTTGAAACTGAGTCCATCTGTCCCCATACTCTTTCTCCCATTCCATGAAGGACCTGCTACAAAGACAGTTTTCTTTACCATGTTCCTGGCACAACCAATCATCTCCCCAGGTAAGCAGCTAAGTGCTGGCCTGACTCACGGCAACAGCACACATGTCAGACCCTGGAGATGGTCACACTGCAGGTGTCTGGGGTACCTCGGGGCCAAGACCCAGCATTGGACAGCCAGGCTACCCTCCTTGCACATGCCTAAGAGGTACCTTTGACCAGCCCGGGCTCGCTAAGTCCCATCCCTCTAAGACGACACCTTTCCCACCAACCTGCCATACACCATCAGAAACCTGAGCCTTGAAATTCCTGACTTCAAAATCTTAGAACATTAGAACTCTAGACTCTTAGAAGTGCAGACCACACAACACAGAGCTGCATGGAACCACAGCAGTCAATAAGCTAACACCTTCTTTCTACGAATGAGGAACCTGCTGCTTGGGAAGTGGAGTGACCAGCCCAGCTTGCTCCCATATCTCCCAACTCCCAGTTGAATGCTATCCTTTGTGAGCAATTTTCCAGAGAAAACAAGAAAAATGAGGCTTTGAGGGAAGTATTCCTCTCCAGAATCCTGAGGCAGTCACCAGAGATTCCCCTGAAAACTACTCCAGTGGGAAGGGGAAGGGAGAGAAAGAAGAGAGGAATTACACTGCAGGCAGAGACCTATCTAGATGTTCTGTGAATAGATGAGGAGAGGCCTGCTGATGCCCAGCTGGGGAGTCAGGCAATGAGAGGAGCCTACTAGGAGTCAGGGAGGGAAAGGCCTACTGGCCCATGCAGATGCGGCAAGTGGGGCTGAAGGACAGCTGGGCCTGCAGGTATCCCACCCCAATGCCCAGCACCCACCAGCCTTCCTCCCTCCTCCACCCCACCCACCCTGGCCCACCCCCATCCCACAGCACTCACACATCCACAGGTAGTAGAGGCGCTTGGTCATGCTCAGATGCTGGGGAGGAATGTCTGCCTCGAAGTCTTGGTAGAAACATGGCTTCAGCGGGATGAATTTGGGCAACGGTGGGAAGTTGTTCACTTTCTCTGTGGCCAAGGCACATTGCATGGTATCACTTTGAATGTTCCCCTCCCCAACAATCCAATATGATCATTCTTTCCCTGGCCTGAGCTGCCTTCTCAGCCCCTGTGGCCACAGGCTACTTTACTATCCCCACCTAGCCATCCCTGCTTCCTTGGGTCTGCTGTGAGGTTCCCAAAGTAATTAAAGGCCCTGAGGCAGTGTCACTGTCTCTCAGAAGAATAAAAACAATAAATGCTATCCATCAGGGCTGCGGAACCCTCTTCAGCTGGGAGACAGTTCCGGGCAGAGGAAGCAAGATGTGCGAGTCTGGGGGGACTCCAGCCTGCATTCCAATATTCATGCTTTGGGCAAGTCACCACCCCTGGGACCTCAGTTTATCCACTAGGGTGGAGGCTGAGCTAGAGAGTCCCTAAAGGTCCCTCCAGCTCTGGCATTGTACACCTGAGCCTTTGGAAACCAGACAATTCAGAAACCATTAGAGAGCAATGGTGACAGAGGAGACAAGGAGTGAGCCACCCGTGCCACTCAACAGTCAGATGGAGAGTAGGACCAGGGCATCAAGATGTTCCATCCCTGGTCCCCAGGGTCAGAGGTCTGACAGAGGGCTAGATACTGTCATGGTGAGGGTCTCGGATAGACAGACCTCAGTGGGGAACCAGGGAAAACCTGGGGACTAGAGAACAGAAAGACCCTGCCCTCCAAAAACTAGGGGACATAAAAGGACCCAGAAGAGGGTCACCCACACTATGCTTACTACCATATCCTACCGACAAGACCCACCCTCTCCTTACCTGCCATGATGGCAGCAGCCGGCCCAGCAGCCTGCCTATGCCTCTTTGTCCTGAACTGGAAGGAAGGAAAAGCCAAAGAAGGATGAGGATCATGACCCAGCCCAACCCAGACTCTCTCTCATCCCCAGGTGGGCTGGAAGCTCCCTGGGGCAGGACCCACCTCATACTCCCATGGTGAGATGAACTCCGTTGAGGCAGTTCCTACTTCACAGAGCCACCATTCTACCAGCTACATCCTGCCAGGGACTCCTGCCCTTTGCCTTCAGAAAACTCCATCCAAGGGTGGGAAAGGAACCTGGGAGGGGACCTCATGCAGGGAAAGCCAAGTGACAGAGAAAGCCCAAGGGTACCATAGACCTCTGTAAGAAGAAATTTATTCCTCAACTCTGAACATGGCAGAGCCCTGGCCTCTCTCACAGGCTGGGCTCCCCTCCCCTCCTGCTTTTGCCTTCAGTCATTTGTTCACTTATTGGGGATTTATTATTTGCCAGGCAGTGTGGAGACAGCACGAGTAAGACAGATGTAGTCCCTGCCTTCTGCATGAAAGAGTCAATAACCTGTGCAGTAAATAATATAAAAGGGAAGGATGGCTGCTATTAAAACATGCACAGAATATATCAAGGTGATCTAACCCAGTCTAGGCAGTCATGGAAATTAAATGTAAGCAGTAAGTGAAAAACCTGAAGAATACAGAGGAGTTGCCTGGGGCAGGGCAGCCTTCTAGGCAGAGGGGAAAGCAGGCACAGACCCTGATGCAGGAAGGAGCTTCACACTTCTGAGTAAGGGAAAGAAAGCCACAGTGGCCAAAGCAAGGAGTGTAAATGCAGAAGCAGCTGGAGAGGAGGCTGGAGAGCTGAGGTGGGCAGGGAATGAATCTTGAGGCCCTTATAAGGCAAGTTTGAAGTGGTCCTGAGATGGATTTTGGGAGTAGGGGGAGGGAGGCCATCAAGAAGCCTCCTTGCCAACTTAAACCACTGAGTGGATGGTGGGGCTATTTACTGAGAACCCCATCGTGGGAAACACCATGAGAAGAGGCTCAGGGTCCTTGCCGAAGACAAGAAGCTGCGTTACAGACATGCCAAGTCTGAGGTGCTGTGAGACCCCCAGACAGGGCTGCAGCCGCCTTGTAGGCATTGGGAATATTCCAGTCAGGAGTTCAGTGAGAGGCCTGGGCTAAGACATACATTAAGTAATGGTTGGTGACATATGGCAAGGAAGCGAATGGGCAATCATCTTGCTAGAACGGTAACTTTGGTGTATATAAATATATGTATATGCAAAATAAAAAACAGAAGATGGTCTACAACCAAGCGCTAAAGCAATGCAACACTTATACATTGAGCAGAGATTTCTATAAAGTTTCAAACCAGGCAAAAACAACTAGAAGTCAGGAGAGTATTACCCTTGAGGGGGCAGAAGCATCTGGTAACGGTCTGTCCCTGGTCTGGGTGCTGGTTACACAGAGGTGCTGACTTTGTGAAAATTCATCAAGCATACAATTATGATGTGTGCACTTTCCGATGTGTTATACTTCAATTAAAATTTGCTTATGGGGCCGGCCCTGTGGCCGAGTGGTTAAGTTCACGTGCTCCACTATGGCAGCCCAGGGTTTCTCTGGTTCGGATCCTGGGCACGGACATGGCACTGCTCATCAGGCCACGTTGAGGAGGTGTCCCATGTACTACAACTAGAAGGACCCACAACTAAAATATACAACTATATACTGGGGGGATTTGGGGAGAAAAAGCAGAAAGAAAAAAAAAAGAAGATTGGCAACAGTTGTTAGCTCAGGTGCCAATCTTTAAAAAAAAAAAAAAAAAGAATTTACTTAAACCGGTACAGCCACTATGGAAAACAGTATGGAGATTCCTCAAAAAATTAAGGATAGCACTAGCATACGTTCCAGCTATCCCACTGCTGGGTATTTATCCAAAGAACATGAAAACACAAAAGCATGTCAATACGCCCTCATGTTCATTGCAGCATTATTCAAAATAGCCAAGACTTGGAAGCAACCTAGGTGCCAGTCAAGGGACGAATGGATAAAGAAAATGTGGTATATATACATAGTGGAATACTACTCAGCCACAAAAAAAGGTGAAATCTTGCCATTTGCAAGAACATGGATGGATCTTGAGGGTACTATATTAAGTGAAGTCAGTCAGAGGGAGAAAGTCAAATACCATATGATCTCACTCATAAATAGAAGATAATAACAACAACAAACACACACATAGAGAATAGATGGGACTGGTGGTTACCAGAGGGGAAGAGGAGAGGGAGGAGGACAAAAGGGGTGATTAGCCTCTGGGTGCTGAAAATTATGTAATCTACACGGAAATTGAAATATAATGATGTACACCTGAAACTTATATAATGTTATAAACCAATGTTACCTCAATGAAAAAAATAATAACAGGCCGGCCCCATGGCCTAGTGGTTAAGTTCAGCACACTCCACTTCAGCAGCCCAGGTTCAGTTGCCGGGCGTGGACCTACACCACTCACTGGTGGCCATGCTGTGGCCATGTCCCACATACAAAATAGAGGCAGACTGGCACAGATATTAGCTCAGGGAGAATCTTCCCCAGCAAAAAATAATAATAATAATAAAATAAAACAAAAAACAAACAAACAAAAACCCCCAATAATTCCCCTGGGGAAAAAAAGAAAGTGTGCTTAAAAAAACCCTCCTAGAGTTCCAGTTAAATTCCATTGGAGCCATTAAAAGTCTGGGCAATTATAATCTTTGGTGGTTATAATTTTGTGATATGAAATCAAACACAGATATAAAAACCCAACAACATTTACCACAAAAGGAAAAAAGACAGGCATGACAGAGACCCACATGAAATGATATCCATACATGGTTGCATTCATTGTAGCATTGTTTGTAATACCAAAAGATTAGAGACAATCAACATGTCCATAACAGGGGACTGATTAAACAAATGTTACAATCAGACCATGGACTGCTCCAAAGCTCTTTTTAAAAATGCTCTGCAGCTATTTAAAAAAATACTGATATTGAAAGATCTCCACAACTATTAGTCATTGAAAAAAATGAAAGATGAAGAACAGTCTATATATAATATGCTACCTTTCATATTAAAAAAAGAAGGAGGGGAGAGGAGAATAAAAATATTTTTTCCTTTTGACCCAATAATCCTACTTCTGGTTACTTACTCACAAATAAGAAACAACAAATACACATTATTCAACGTGACACTATTTTGCAATAGCAAAACATTGGAAGCAACTTAAATGCAACTGTTTGAATAAACTATATGGTTTATTCAAATGGACTACTGCATAGATGCAAAAAAGAATGAAGATGATCTCTGTGAACTGCCATGGAATGATTTCCAGGATATGCTAAGTGAAAAAAACAAACTACAGATGAGTATAAATAGTATCCTACCTTTTATGTAAGAAGGAAGGAGAAACAAGAACATGCATATAAATTTGCTTATTTTTGCAAAAGAAATGCAGGAAGAGTAAACCAGAAACTAATAAAATGACTTCCTACATGATGGAAGGACTAGAATGAGTAGTGAGACTTCTCTGGGTAAAGATTTTTACATACTTCTATACATATAATATCTTACACATTCAAAAACTTACACCAGAAAGAAAAGAAAACCCTAAAAATGAAATAAACAAACAAAAAATAATAATAAAGCTCATAAAGCTTGCTGTAGAGCAAATTGGTAACAATCATACAGAGAAAGGAACTGGCCAAATAACTTGATCAGAGTACTCTGTGTTCTCCTAGAAGGATATATCTCAAGGAAAAAACTAACTGGAAAGAAATCTTAAATATTAGCAGGTTTATTGTTACTCTTGGTACTAGTATGGTGGTTCTGAAACTTTGTCACGTGTAACTGCAGGAGAGAGCATATGAGTAAATGTGCTGTTTTGGGGAACCTGGGTTCTCACTGTTAGAGTTTGGAGACAGAATATGGAATGTGAGGTGAGAAAGAGCCCCTCGATGCTGAATTTGAACTGGAGGTATCTGTATGAACTCATGACTTAAAAAATATATGTGGCTGGTCCCAAGCCAGGACAAGGAAATACAAGGTTAGCCGAGAACATCTTGTGGTGCCAGAAACAAGCAGGTATTCAACTAATGGGGGCATGTCAAAAGGACACCAGTTTGAAGGGGCTACCACCAGCCATATCTGGACAATTAAGAGTACCAAAAGCAGGGGCCAGCCTGGTGGTGCAGCGGTTAAGTTCTCACGTTCTGCTTCTCAGCAGCCTGGGGTTTGCCGGTTCGGATCCCGGGTGGGGACATGGCACTGTTTGGCACACCATGCTGTGGTAGGCGTCCCACATATAAAGTAGAGGAAGATGGGCACGGATGTTAGCTCAGGGCCAGTCTTCCTCAGCAAAAAGAGGAGGATTGGCAGCAGCTAGCTCAGGACTAATCTTCCTCAAAAAGAAAAAGTATCAAAAATAATAATGACAGTGATATATTATAACATACTGAACTTAAAAAATAATCCATGAGTCTAAAGTAACAAATCTTATTTTAAAAAAGAGAAAGAGGAAGGAAGCAAGAAAGTTTTTCTTTGCAGAAGAATGCTGGCTATAAGTGTAGAAGGAGTGACAAAATTAGAAAATTTCCCAGGGCCGGCCTGGTGGCATAGCGGTTAAGTTCTTGCATTCCATTTCAGCAGCCCGGGGTTTCCTGGTTCGGATCCCGGGTGCGGACCTATGCACTGCCTATCAAGCCATGATGTGGCAGGCGTCTGACATATAAAGTAGAGGAAGATGGGCATAGATGTTAGCTCAGGGCCAATCTTCCTAAAAAAATGAAAGAAAATTTCCCAATTTTGCAATCACTAACATAATAGCTGATTCGGGCAAGGATTGTCAAAGGCTGCTAAAACCATTGGGCGAAAGATCACTGGGGAGAAAGAGTCAGAGTGTCAAAGTACCAGCCCAAAGATGAGTTACTAATTACAAAGGGGAACAGGCACTTTTACTGTGAAGAAAGCTAGCAGACACCACCTTAACCAGGTGATCAAACTTAACCTCACCAATAATGGGACTCCCAAAGTGATGCACCAAGAGGGGCACAACATCTCCTTTGTAGCATGCCTGCCCCAAAATGTTTAACCTGAATCAAATCATGAGAAACAATCAGACAAATCCAAGTTGTGGAGCATTCTAAAAACTGGTTTAGACTGTCAAAATTTGCCAACATTCTAGGGGCTGGCCCATGGGGTAGTGGTTAAGTTTGACATGGTCTGCTTTGGCAGCCCAGGTTTGTGAGTTCAGATCCTGGGCATGGACCTACACCACTCATCAGCCATGATGTGGTGGTGACCCACGTATAAGGTGGAGGAAGACTGGCACAGATGTTAGCTCAGGGCTAATCTTCCTCAGCACACACACACACACACACACACAAATTGCCAACACTCTAAAAGACAAAAATATTTTAAAAATAAAAAGATAAGGGATTTTCTAAGCTAATGGAGACTAAAGATACATGGCAACCAAATCCACTATGTAAACCTTGATTGGATCCTGGTTCAAGGGGGAAACACTATAAAGAACATCACTGGGATAACAGAGCAAGCTTAAACATGGAATCTAAACTAGATAGTATTATTGCATCAAGGTTACATTTCTTGGGTGTGATAAGGGTATTGAGGTAATGCAGGAGCACGTCCTTGTTCTTGGGAAACATGTGCTCAAGTGCTGAGGGGTCAAGTGTCATGAAGTTTGAAACTTGCTTCAAACAGTTCATAAAATAAGAAATGATGGATGGATAGACACAGACAGAATCAAAGCAAATGTGGAAAATGTTAACAACCGGTGAAGCTGTATGAGTGTCTCTTGTACTATTCTTTCAACTTTAGTTTAGTGTAAAAGTTTTCAAGATAAAAAGTTGGAGAAAAACATGAATAATGTCAGTAACGAATTATAACACACTGAATGAAAAGAATGCACGAGTCCATGATGATATACAAAAGAAAGTGAGGGGAGAAAGGGGAAGCCCTAATAAATATAGAAAGAATGACAGAATTTTTTTAAATCACCATTTGCAATCCCTTTATAAGAACTGATACAGGCAAGGATCATCAGTGGCTGCCAAAACCACTGAGTGAGAGGTGGCTGGGGAAGAGGAGAGTCACACAATCTGAGTGTCACCCCCACCCCCCCCCCGCCCAGATTACTTAGTAATCATAACAGAGAAAAGGAACTTCTATAATGAGAGGACCTGGCAAACCAAGTGACCAAACCCAGCATTTCTGATAATGGGATGAAAGGAAATTACGTGCCTCCTGATGAGATACACACAGAAGGACACAAGATCATCTATGTAGTATTGTTGCCAAAATGTTTAATCTGAAAATAATTATGAAAAAACAATCTGACAAATCCAGATTGTGGGAAATTCTCCAAGACAAACGTGAATGTCATGAAAGACAAAAATTGGTATGGGACTCATCTAAATTAAAGGAAACTAAAGAAACATGCAACCAAATGCAACAAGTGATCCTCTAG